TACTCACCCTGGGAGAATGGCTCAGTCTTGCTCTGGGGAAACAAAAGGAGGAAATGGAAGAAAAAATATGAGAAAATGTGTGGAGAAAAATGTGCACTTACATGTGCAATCACAGTGCAATGTAACACCCCGGGCCCAATTCAGTCACCTTCACCTTGAGCAGGCAAAGCAATAGCATGGTACGGACTCTGCACAGCTATAATGATACACTCTCTGACACAGCAGGAGCATCAACTATTTATCAATCAATCTAAAGTGTAGCTGGAGGGGAACAGTGTACATTCATTGCTGCTCTTACAGCTGAAATGAGAAATGGTGTATATTTGTGTGTGTGAGTCTACGTGTGAGAGAGTTGGTGTGTGTGTCTACCTCTGGTTCCCTCTGAAAAATGACCACTCGGCCCCCCTTGTCCCCTGTGGCCAGGAGCTCTCCTGTGTGGTTGAACTCAACAGTGGAGATGATATCAGCTGGGGAGAGAGAGACATAGAGACAAAGATGGAGGAAGAGAGAGAGCGAGTAGCCATTAGCTAATTGGCCACACATCATCATTCCTCTATATAATCTGTTTATCTGACTCTAAATTATTAAACCAAGGAAAGAGTCATTGCATTAACATGTAAGTGGATTAGAATATGCAAATTAATGTGCAGAATAAAACAATAATTGATCACTAACACTAATACTCTGCAAATGTGTGTAAACTATTAGAGGTAATTCAGATTACACAGTATATATAATCACCATCAAAACATACAGAAAATGAAAGACAGTCACTGTCACACCACACACACACACACACACACACACACACACACACACACACACACACACACACACACACACACACACACACACACACACACACATACCTCTTTCTCACACACACAGCTGTTTCAAGTTAGGCACAGGTGTTATCTGTGTGCCACTATGGCACAATGAGGCACAGGATTACAATATACGTACACAAACACACAAATACACACACACAAACACAAATTGTTTGTGTGTGTGTTTGTGTGCGTATAGTGAGAATTATAGCTGCAGTGTCTGAAAGTGTAAACACACCTCAGAGTGCATTTGAATTAGTGATTATTATTTTGCGTACATTCATTCGCATATTTGCGACAATGTCCCCATCAAAAGCTCTGTGTCCTAATACACCAACACAGTCTGACTCAGTGTCAACTCTGTAATGTGAAGAGTAAGCACATTATTAACCACTTTGGATTTACTGACTCAATGCTTTCACTGATCCTTCCTGCATCGCACAATACACAGAATAGCACTCAGTTGTGCCGTCTAATGAAGGGTATGCGAATGTGACATCTGAAGCTTGAATCTGGTTTAACGTTGCATGTAATCTCCTCCCTGCCCTTCTGTCTGCTTATCCTCCTTTCACTTCTGCTTTGTGCTGCAGATTGAAGTTTATTTGGAGACAGCGCTGTTTTAGAGGCAGAAAAAATCTCTCACACAGTATCTAAAGGTTCACTGTAAAAGAGGAGGCAAGAGAGGATGTAGCTGACCTGGAATGAAGCCATAGTAAGTTATCTCAGGTCATCTTATTTCATCCAGTTCAAAATCAGCCATAATAGGTAATTAGTTTGGTGCTGTGATCATTAATGGAGCAACATCATGCACCATCATGTACATATTTTGTTTAGGCTCATCTTTTGACCTCATTTCTACATTTAGGCCTTTTAACTTTTATTTGTTTGAAAAACGTCCAGTTTGGTTACTGATGGAAGTGAACTGAATGTCCAGCTCAGTTGTCAATCTGTTATTGCAGTTTTCACACTATTAAATCCAGGCCATGTTAAGGACAGACAGTGGTTGGTGATGCTGATCACCATGGCAATGACTTCAGTGCTGATTGGATAGTCTTCAAATGCAATACAGAAGATTCTTAAGCTTTCTCAATCAAATTTGATCCATGTACATGTCTTCACATGATACAGGAAAAACTGGTTCAGTTTTCACTTGTTCAAAGGCTCATGTATGGGGCAGTAAGTCAGATGTTGAATTTGCATGTTTGCATGTTCACTATTTCTAAAATTATTTTAAAAGAATAGTTATCGATGTCTTGAAGTATTGTGGAAAGATTTGTGGCTGGGTGTTTCCCCTATTTCCTGTCTTAATGCTACGCTAAGCTGCCTGACTGTTCGCTAAAGGTTTACATTTAGCTTACAGACATGGGAGTTCCATTGGTCTCTTATCTATGTATTTCCCAAAATGTCAAACTATTCTTTTAAAGAGTCTTTCCATCACTGCTAAAATCTGCTAGGTTGTCTGACTCCACACATCATGGTTTAACAATCATACTGGGTTAGTAAAACATCCAGTTCCTCTTCATATGCCAGAGTAGAGACTGCTCTGTTGCAACATTTTCTAACAAAACATCAGTTTCACATGATATGTCTTTGTACGTGCTGCAGTGAAAGTATCTAAAAACACTACCAATAAATAAAATGCTTGCATGTTACTTGTGCAGCTGGGTTGTTAGCCTAAAATAGATGATGACCTAGCATAAAGAAGATGAAAGTGTACCAAATTTGCTGCATAAAATAGTATCTGGTGGAAAATAAAAAGAGGGCAAAGTCATTCTTTGGCTGAAAACTATTCATTGCTGTCCATAAAGCCTATAAACCAATATCACCTAAAGACACAAAACCTACCACTATTTTCGTATGCCAAAGAAGCACAACCCACAGGCAATGAGCAAGCTACATTTTGACTGTCCTAGTGTTATAGCCTCCAGATCAGTGCTGCCTCACAAAGATTTTTTTTGGATGGCAAAATCTCAGGTCTCCTACTGCACAAGCAAATGATTAAATAATCTCTTCCAAAATGTCATAGATTAGATTTAAAAATAAGAGTAATTTCAGGTGCTGTATCTCACCAAGCCTTCAACAAAGGGGTTCAGTGAGCTTAGTTTTGAAAGAAAAGAACATGTTCCTCAATAAGCACTGACTGCAATAAAAACAGAGTGTGGAAGGCTTATTTATTGAGAGTCAATGTGATCCAAAGCTGTAGCCTTGCCTTTTTCATGGTGGCCTTGAGAGAGAGATTTTATGATGAGGGGAGGCAGGGACTGCTCCTCAATCTCTATACCAACACAGCCTTATTCACCCTGTTCCTCACACACTTCATGTATTACTGGTTTCTCTCTTTCTATCATCTTTCCATTAGTTATTGCATTGTTTCTTGATCTCTCAGTCGCTGCAGTATCTTCTTTATTCTTCAGTTTCAGTTTCTTTCCTCTGTTTCATGCTTTCTCTTGCTCTCTCTGTCCCTCTCCCCCAACACATTCTTTTGTCATCTCTAATCTCTTGTTCTCTCTTTTGCCCCATTTCACTCTCTAATTTTCTTCTTGGTTGTCTTTCCACATTCAGCTCCCTCTCTTTCTCTCATCCCTCCCCCACAGCACTCTGCTGGCTGGCTATATGTTACTGAGTATGTAGTGGTGGTGATGCTGGTGGTGCAAGAATGGGAAGGATGGAGAGGGAGGTGGAGGGAAGAGGCGCTGGGGCGGAGGCAGTGGAGGGGTCCTCCGGTGAGCAGAGGTTGCCATAGTAACAAGCTGAGCCAACCAGTAGCAGCGGTACTCGTAACGGTTAGCCGTATATGGCAGTCTGGTAAAGGAGGAAGTGGCATTCATCAATCCAGTCCTCGCAGGAAGAAGGAGTGCGGTTAAATAATTGTGGTGCTGCACTTTTGTCCAACAACAAACACTGCTAAATTAATACCCCAGGATGTGCGACACACACTATGAGCCAAATTGAGGATATGCTGATAATAATGCATGAACACATATGATGGCACTCATAAAAACACACAGACCCCTATGCATGCAGTCAAATTCACAAACATGTGTGCACACACCAGGGAGTTTTGAATTCACGTAATGATGCACTGCAAATGTGTGTGCTTGACACTATGTGTGAGTGAGTGTGTGCACACGTACAGACAACTGTGTCTCCAGTCACACAGAGAAATAGCTAAGCTAAGCAAAACCACAGAAGCGGTACACAATATAGCTAAATAAAATATGGAGCACACACTCTCCTCTCTCATCCTCTGTCTGTTTCTTGGCCTCCCTCCTCTTTATCATTCTGTGCCTCTCTCTTTCTCTCTCTCACACACACACACACACAGCTCACACCCATCTGTCTCTCTCAGTCTCCTTATTAGAAGAGCACTACAGAAAAATAAACTGCTAATAATACAAACAACCACTGCAGATGCTAGCATCATCAACAGTGCTGTGGCTCTCCTCCAAGAGGCACCGCTGGCCATTGTACTGATGTAATATGTGTGTGTGTGACTGTGTGACTGTCTGTTAGGGTGTCAAGCTGTAAGTCAGTGTCTTATAGTGTGGATGTGTGTTTGCTTCAGTATAGCAAACTAGCTGTGTCTGTCTCCCACAGACAGTCCATTAGCATCAGCAGGCCTGTCTGACTCATCACCACACTGCAGGAGCTGGGGGAACACTCTGTGACTGCAAGTGCATGTGCCTACACATACAGTACATATCAGCCCAAAACAACAACACACAAACATGAATGAACCCAATGACACAGAGACGCATCAAAAAACATGCACAAGTGATAAACACCAAACTCACAAACACTCAAATTCGCTGTGAGGTGTTTATGAGGACAGCAGCTCCTTAATGATCAAAGAATCTTATAGGCAGAGATGAAATGATAAGTTGATCACCACAAAATAAATCAACAACAGTTTTGGTAATTCATTCATTTTTTAAGTGATTTATAAATTAAAATGTCAAATTGTTAGTGGAGCCAGCTTTTCTCAGGTTTATACCATTTATCATATTATAAATCGAATATCTTTGAAAATATGGAGATGTTGGTTAAACAAAAAAAGCCTTTTTAAAATGTCACCTTGGGCTCTTAAACATTGTGACGGGGCATTTTTGACAGAGATTTTTATAAACTACTACTGACAGGTAGAACTGAGTTTATTAGTCAATTCATTGATTAGATGACCAACAGAAAATTAACTATTTTGATTAACTATAAATAATTTCATTCACTTTTCAAACAAAAATACTATGATAAAAATAATGGTAGTTTCAAACATAGTCTATATTATACACATTAAGACTCATCTGTGGCTGCAAAATTGGGGTGGCAGAGAAGAGGAGAGGAGGTTTACGGGCTAGATGAGGGTAGTGGCATAGCTGAGGGGAAGGGAGATTTAGTTATTTTTTTGTTAAGGCTACTATAGGGACAGACAGGGGAGCAGACGTCCTACAGTCCCAATTATAGATATCTTGGGTCTGGGTAAACATGGACCATTAAAGCTGAGCCAAAAACACACACTCCTTAAAAGCGAGGACAAACGACCACTCAGCAGGAGATCTGAGTGAATGTGTGTCTGGGAGTGTGTGTGTGCAGCTCAAGCACCCCGCATTTCCTGTGTACGTGAGCACAAGTGTGTGTACTCA